AAATAAATAAATTAAAATATTTTGATTAAATTTGGAGTGTTACATTACATGCTATGAATGTGGGAAGTAATGTCACATTAAACCGGATTGTCCAAGACTTTCAAAGAAGAATGGATTCAAAGGCAAAAAAGAGACAAAGGACAAAAATGCTTATGTTGCATGGGAGGACAATGACATTAGTTCATCATCCGAATCCGAAAGCGACGAAAGTGCAAACTTAGCATTGATGGCTTCTCATCACTTTTTCATGGAACAAAAACGACGAAGATGAAGAGGTTAGTACTAATGTGAAGACATCAATGCCAAGTTTGCATTTTCGTCGCTTTTAGATAATGAACTAATGCCATTGTCCTCCCATGCAACATAAGCCTTTTTGTTCTTTGTCTCCTTTTTGCCTTTGAATCTATTCTTCTTTGAAAGTCTTGAACAATCCGGTTTAATGTGACCTTGCTTTCCACATTCATAGCATGTAACATCTTGATTTGATGTGGAAGTCTCCCTTTTCTTGAAATGTTTCTTCCTCTTTCCATAGTTGATGGGTTTGTCACTTTTATTGAAGAATTTTCCAAGTCTCTTAACTAGAAACATAAAACTTCCATCTTCCTTTGATGCATCATCGTCTTGTCCTTCTTTTGAATCTACTTTTAGAGCAATGCCTTTAGACTTTTTCTCTTGATGTTCATGTTTCTCAAAATAACTTTTGACAAACATCGTTCTTGCTTTGTTCTTGCTTTCATCGTCTTGTTCTTGCTTTCCACATTCATATGCTTTTGACAGGTCGACTTTTATCACAAAATAACTTTTTCCCTTTTAACTTCTCCATATTATGCATTACTTCTTTAGCAATAATAATGTTCTCATGAACCAATCGTCCCAGAACATAACCTGTTTGATACAGAGAGATCAGTCTATCCATGTACTTATTCAATCTTCCCACTATCACCTTGCTCACCACTTTGTACATAGTATTACATGATGATATAGGGTGAAACTACATAACTGTAGTGGGATGATCAACTTTTAGAATAAGACAAATATCAGTTTGATTCACATTTGCAATCCCATCAGGCTTCTCCGATATTTTTTGGACAAAATAACAGAGATTCTTACCAACAATATCCCACGACTTTTGATAAAAACCTGTTGGAAATCCGTCTGGACCTGAAGCTTTCCACAATTTCATATCAAAAAGAGCCATTTTAATTTCTTCATTAGTTACATGAATATCGAGTTTAACAATGTCACCTTCCTCCAAACTCGGGTAAGAGATCTGAGTTTGCTTTCACATTTGCAACTTTCCACTAATGCTAAACAATTTTTTATAGTAGTTGTTAAGAAATTGTGGTTGGGTCTAATTCATCCACAAAACTGGTTGGTAAGGTGAGAATTGCCCCCACTTATAAAGACATGTTCATGTCATATATTATCCGATGTGAGACTTTTAACAGTAGTTATTAACCAAACTTTTAAGTTGCTCACATTCTTCCAACATAATAACCACATTCTTCCTTCTCCTTGTTATTGTCTTTATATGATAATACTTTATGTTCTTGTATCCATTTGCAAGCATTTGGCCCTTGAGCATTGAAACCACATGAGTTATTCTTACTTAAGAATAGTGTTTAACTCATCATGCAACCGTAACTCAGGCATTTTCATACCTCCTGTGTTTTCTTTTCTTTAAATACACTTCTGCACTCCATTTAACCTAGCATGATCTCCTTTTTCCTCATATGAACTTGGTTTAAAGTGCTGCACTTCCCATCCTTTGCGCCAACTTCTATCTTTCTTAAATTCTTAACTAACTTTTCATTATCCTTTCATAGACTCTTTAGCCTCTCTATGTAATTCCATCTATCATCCAAGCACTCTCAAACATGAAATGTTTAGGAGCTTGGGAGTACACATTACATGTGAGGGATGTCATTATCAGATGATGATTTGAGAACTCAACTCTAGTTAAGACCTTAACACGAGCTTTGAGAAACTTCATTCTCCAATCCTCGTGACTTAAAGCTCTATCCAATCTATCATAGATTCGTTGACCAGCTTGTACACAGGCCCCCTCCAAATAAACTTAGGACCACTTGCACCAAGATCATGAAACTTGCCCTCCTCCATTTCATCTCTGAAAGCCATACACTTCCTTTGAGAGGTCTGCACCCCACTTTTTGCTCATTAGCATAGGTTATCTCATTAAAGTCTCCTACCAACAACCAAGGGTAGCAATTGTATGGGTGTTACGAGAAAGGCGTTTGGTTGCTTAAAGCTCTATCTAATATATGAAAGATTCGCCGACCAACTTAATACACAGGCCCCCTCCAAGTAAATTTAGGACCACTTGAACTAAGATCATGAAGCTTGCCTTCCTCTATTTTATCTCTGAAAGCCATACACTTCTTTTGAGAGGCTTGCACCTCACTTTTTTTCTCATTAGTATAGGTTATCTCATTAAAGTCTCCTCCCAACAACCAAGGGCTCCTAACATTCCTAGCCATAATTTTCAAGTTATCCCACAATCTCCTTCTGAAAATCCCTAGCACAACACTCTTATTTGATACAGATCTTCTTAGTATTAATAGTTACCTCAAATGACAATCTCCAACAATATGTAATTAACATAATTTGTAAAGAATTTTAAACTCAATCCCAGCAACAAGCTTTACAATATAGAGCTCCAAATTTTAGAAAGCTCCAAATTTTAGAAAGTCTAATTTTTCCATTAATATTAATAAGAATAAAAATATATTATAATAAAAACTCAATAAATTAAAAATATATTGTAAAAAATTTAATATATTAAAAAAAATGAGATTGATTAAAAATCAAAATAATTATTATTAAAACTATTTTTTATTAATATATAAGTATATCTTTTAACGTGCCATTTTTAATTATTATAATTGTAGTTTTTTTTATAAATTTAAACATATTTTTTAATTAGAACAGAATTTTCGAATTGATTGGATTAAAAAAATCGGGTTAAACAGAGATAAATCACCTTATAGTCTTTAATAGATTGTCCAACAAAATAAAATTACCGCTAAACTGTGAATATTTTGTCACTCTAACACGGCTATAGCTAAAAGTAATTACTATCTCCCAAATGTCCAATTAAGGAATTCAATCAAACAAACAAACAATAAAATATACAAAGAATGGTCTAATCATTTTTTGTCCATAATAAATAATGCTTCATTGTCATCAACTTTCAACAACTTCACTATCAACTTGCTATAATTGAGATTAAATAACCAATTCAAAGTTTATAATGAAAGACGGACAAGCCAGAAAGGGAAAATTTGGCTTAAACCAACACCCGTGAGTTGTGAGTTGTGACAACGGAGGAAGTTATTTTATTTCCAACAATTTAATTTTGTTCAAAAAAAACCCTAAAAAATGATTTTTCAATAAAAATAATGCTTCAAAAAAAGAAAGAAATACTTATCTTGTACTAATATGTTGTCTAGATATGCAAAGGTAATTGTGGAGAAAGAGTTAGTCGGCACTAGGGCTGGAAATGAGTCGAGTCGAGTCGAACTCACCTCAGCTCGGCTCGACTCGTTAAGAATTGTTCGAATTCGAGTTCGAGTTCGAGTTCGACGCGAACTTTTTTTTAAGCTCAAACTCGACTCGTTATAAGTTCACGAACAGTTCGGTTCGACTCGTTAGGTTCATCTCATTAGGTTCAGCTCACATGGTTCACGAACTTAAAAACTATTTTTTTAAATATATATATTTTTTAGTATATTTGACATTTTAAATAAATATATATTTTTTAAATAAAATATTAAAATAAAATAAAAGTTATCATATTGAAATTTAACTTTATCTTCGAAATCTACTAATTCAAAACCTACACAACTTTCAAGAGATACATTTGAGAGTCTAATTCAAAAACTAATAAATTGAAGATTAAATTTGTCTAAGATTTGAAGTAAATATTTAAACCTAATCTTAAAGACAGTATAATTCTTTTCATATGTAATCGAGTTGACTCATGAACCTAACGAGTCGAACTATGTATAGTTCAAGTTCAGCTCATTTAGTTAACGAACTTAATTTTTCGCTCATACTCAACTCATTTGGTTCATGAACCTAGTTCAACGATTTAATTGTCGAGTCGAATTCCGAACTATCTTCGAGTTGGTTTGGTTCATTGCCAGCCCTAGTCGGCACTGACAACACAAACACAAGAAGAAATGAATGTAAAATTTAGAACACCACTAAAACACACATGTAGTGAAAATAAATAACAGTGAAGAAAATAAAAAATGACAAACCTTATTATGACCCTGATTTACGCATGTCACGGCGAAGAACTATATTCTCTCCAATTCTGCAACCATCCCTACATACAACCTCCTCATCATACTTTATTAACTTTACCATACCCACCAACCAATTACACAACCTTTTACTTTCTTCTGCTCCCATCAACGTTCACCTGCAAAATGAAATGCCATTATCTCCAAAGAATAATAAAAGTAAAAAAATAAAAGAACCCACTAACAACAAAAAAAGATAAACACATTAAATAATAATATTCCAGTACTAACATAAAAGACCAAGTTGAAGTAAGATTCCCATGGTTAAATTAAAATATTACTCCTACCTTTTACTATAATTTTCTACGGTATCAGTCAAAACAAGATTAGAATTTAGAATCACACACACAAATATCTACATGCACTTTTCAAAAATTTCAAAAACAAAAAAGTAGATAGATATTTATGATTGTTTTTGGCCAGTAAAGTGCGCCCACACATGGCAGCTGTCTCCAGCACATTTCCCTCCCAATCAAATGCCTCCCCTTTTCTATTCTGCCTTACATTATTACTTTACTATATAATCTTGATAAATCTTAACCTTACTCCACCGTCTCCGCCCATTAAAATAACACCTTAATTTCAATTTCAATTCAACACTCCCCATATAGCAAGTGAAGTGAGTGTATCTCTTCACAGTTCTATTTTCCTCTCACAGGCATTTTAACAAACATGTCACCGCTACAAAGCTTGCTTCTATTTCTCTCCATACTCGTGCTCTTTTCACTTGCAGTAAGTGAACAGAATGGAGATTTTCAAACCCTAAACACAAAATTCAATCCTAGAATCCCATTACCACCACTCAGAACCCTATCTTCTTCAAAACGTTTTGAAGGATCTTCCGATCTAGTTAAACTCAAGTACCACATGGGACCAGTTCTCTCTTCTCCGATCAATATCTACCTAATCTGGTACGGAAATTGGGCTAGGCCTCACAAACAGCTTATCAAAGACTTTCTACTTTCAATCTCCGACACCACCGCACCTCACCCCTCTGTTTCCGACTGGTGGCGCACCGTTTCGCTTTACACAGACCAAACCGGAGCAAATATCTCCAGCTCAGTCTCCATCGCCGGAGAATACGCCGATCAGCGCTACTCCAACGGGAAGCATCTCACGCGACTGTCAATCCAGGACGTGATTGCAACGGCAGTGCGATCCAAACCTTTCCCGGTGGATCACCGGAAAGGAATCTACCTAGTGTTAACGGCGGAAGATGTCACGATGGACGAATACTGCCGCGCGGTGTGCGGTTTCCACTACTTCACCTTTCCATCAAAAGTAGGTTACACGCTACCCTACGCTTGGGTAGGAAACTCCGGAACACAGTGCCCCGAAGTTTGCGCGTATCCATTCGCGGTGCCAGAGTACATGGCTGGAGGTGGACCGGGGAAACTCTCACCACCGAACGGCAACATCGGAGTTGACGGAATGGTGAGCGTGATCGCTCACGAACTAGCGGAACTCTCATCGAATCCGTTGGTGAACGCGTGGTACGCCGGTGAGGATCCAACCGCGCCGACGGAGATCGGCGATTTATGTGAAGGTTTGTACGGTACCGGCGGTGGTGGCGGTTACATTGGGGAAGTGATGAAGGATAAAGTTGGAAGAACGTTTAATCTTAATGGGCTTAGGAATAGAAAGTTTTTGGTCCAATGGGTTTGGAGCCCTATTTTGAATGCGTGTGCGGGTCCCAACGCTATTGATTTGAATTGAGTTGAAACTTAAACTATTCATTCTTTCACGTCATACCCTACCTTCCTAGTCCTTCGTTGTGGTTTTCTACTAGCTACCTGCCACTACTCTATCATGTATATTATGTAATTTTTTTTTTTTTGTAATTTTATTTTCTCTTCTTGAGGATAATTATAATATTTTTAGAACTTGCTTTTTTATGATTTGCCCTGTTATTTTGTGCACGCTAAACTCATGAGTTTGGCTATTCCTGCTAGCAAAACACTTATGATTAAAATTAGAGAGTTTTTTTAGTAATGAAAATGGGTTGTTATTGAAAATGGAAAGTTCTTTTTAGATGAAATTGAAATGGAGAGTGCTAACTTATGTGCCACTTTCATACATTTTAACAGTTTGAATTGGGTTCTCAAACTGCATCAGCTGGCTTTTTTCTCCCTTGGGTGATGTGACCTTTTCCTTTCATGTGGAGATGCTGCCCAATCATACATGCAATTCGTTTTTGTCTTTTTCTAAAAATATTAACATTTCCAGAAGGGTTTGAGAAGGATTGCATTCCAATTCATCTATTCAACCACGTTTGACTATAATTCAGTGAGGTTTGTTTCTGTCACCCAAGTTTGACCTAATATCTCGGTTTGATTTCATAGGTTTTTTTAAAATTTGATATTGCATTTAAAACATCCATTAAAAATGAGTATATTTTGGTAGTGTATCTCAAAAAATTCGATAAAAACTCATATATTTTAAAAAGTTCAATAAAAGTTTATAGACTTTTTTAAAAATTCATTAAAACTTATATATTTTCTGAAAATTTTGATAAAAATTCAGACATATTTGTAAAATCTGAAAAAGAAACTCAGATTTTTTTTAAAATTCAATAAAAGTCGTACTTTTTTGAAATTTCTAATAGTGTATTTGAAAAATCTGATAAAAATTCATAAAATTTTCGAAAAGTCCAATATTGTATTTGAAAATTTTGGTAGTTCAAATCCTATCATTTTTAAAATCTAGGAAAAATTCATAGATCTCAAAAAAAAAATCCAGTTTTTCAAAAACGCAAAAGGTCACAAAGGGTATTGTAGTAAAAACATAAGAGATGTGGGTGTGTCAAGTAAAATTTGAGAGGTGACGGTAAGAAACCTTTAATCCAACACATTTGTGACTTCTCACAACCTATCATATTTTGTACCGTCTATAAAATGATAAATACCCAACATAGAAGACGTTGATAATGAGTTAGGAATAGTTTTGACGAGGGTTTTAAAAAATGGTTGTGACACCCTTGTGTTAAGGTTGTTGCGACAATAATGAGTTATTAAACTCTTGGATTAATAAAATTTATGACTAATAATGAGTTATTAAACGGAGTAATTTGTCTTAAAATCATTTTTGTAGTCTACATATCTTTAAAAGTTAGTATATTAGTAAATATAATAACATAGTGGATCAAAAATAATTTTTATCTTTACTATACATAAATCCGACTCTGAGATAAATTTAATGCTCGATCTCCATCAAAGATGAAGAGTTGAAAATCAAACATTTACAAGTTGGTTTTTGATATTCTCACCATACTTAAATAAAAAGAAATTCATTTTTTCAAACTCAGCCTTAAATCCAAAATATGTCTCAAAGCTGACAAACACTAACATGTATATTTTTTTTAACTAATCATATTTTTCAAAATTAATTTTAAAGTAACCATATTTTTAAAAGAAATACTAAAATAATCATCTTTTAAATAAAAAAGTTACACACAAGAGGAGTAGTCAGAAGATATAACACATACTTTTATTATTTGTACACATAATGCATACTTATAGTGACAATTAAAAAATGTGGGTAAAAATCTATTTAATACAAGTATAGATCAAAATACATATATCTACACTTCTTTAATGTAGGTTTAACGAATTATAGGTAAAAAAAATAGACTTTTTACTACAATAAAATACATTAGATAACGACTTGTTAGTGTTTTTGTTACTCGATTCGTCTCTATCTTTTAAAATTGTAAAAAAACTTAAAACCTAGTAAAAACACATTTTCTATGCCAAACTCAGGGTATCCGCAAGTATAAACTTTATTGTTATATTTATTTGTTTGTGGAAATTTAAGATATAAGAGTATATTTTTCTTAAAATTTTAAATTAAAATATCATTAAAAGTTAATGATTTGCGTATTAAACTATTCAAAATTTTGTAACGTAGATTAACTCAATTAGTAAATTGTTTCATATTGCGAGAAGTTGTGGGTTCAACTCCCACTATTGATATAATGATGTATTTACCATAGCTACTCTGAATTCACACAATTTTGAAATGCAATTCATCTAAACTTTCCTCCTGTAAAAGAAACTATTCAAAATGCTAACTTCAATCAAACGGTACCAAGTTTAAAAAACACAACTCTATTAATTAATTTGTTAAATATAATAAACTTAAAGTTTTGAAGTCAAAACATAATAAATTTATGGCTAAAAACGTCAAACCCATTTCAACGAGATACAAACATATGTGTAGTTGTTTACCATAATTTATTATTTTAAAACTTAAAAGCACTATATTTATTTGAGGAACCCTTTATACAACATATTTTATCTTTTATTTATTTGCAACCAATAATTAATGAAAACGATAGGTCAATTAAAAAAACACACTTACATTATTTTAATAAATTTTAATTAAAAAGGTCATTGATAGGTGTTTGAAGTTTGAACATCATTGTTGAAACTAAAATGCACAGCTGCACACCATTTATCCAACAGTATCTCAGTTGTCTTTGGATATAGATTTTGAGTCTCTACTTTCTACTATCTACCAACCAAATCAAGCATTGTATATGCCAGCCAGCCAGCCAGTATTGAACCTAGGCACATTTAATGGTCATATGCAACTTGAAATATCAAGTCAAATCATTGAAAAGCAAATATCTCATCTTGTCCTAATTTTTTTGAACCGTAGATTAATTATTTTCAAAAGAAAAGTAATATTTTATTATTTTTAGAAAAATGGTAAAATGCCTACATGATTGAAGTTCTCTTAACTTTCTAGAAGTCTCAAATAGATTGACCAAACAATTAAAAAATTTATTTAAATATAATTTAATTGGAATAAACTTTTTATAAAACTTTTGTTTCAGTTTACTTTTTAAAATTTTGGATTATGTTCGGTAACCATTCTAATTTGTATTTGATATTTTTAAATAAATTGAAATTAAAATATTATATTAAAAATCTTCACAACTTAAAACACTTATATATAAAATTTATAACATTTTCTCTCATTTTTTTCTCTGTTAAGTAGTTTTTTAACTAATTAGAATTTAACATTTAAAAATAAATAAATAGAATGTCACATATTTAAATTTATATTTTTATATTTGATGTCTCTGCATAGTTACCAACTAAACGATTTAATGTGACACATTTTCTCTCATTTTTATTATAATTTTTTTTTACTAATGTATGATTAATGTATTTAATAATTATGTAAAATGGAAAAAGTTTGTATTAAGAATTAGAAGTAGTAATAGTACTTTCCTCAATGTTCCAATCATAAGATTGTTTAAAAATATTTTAAGATATTTTGACTCTGTAAAAATATTATATGAAAAATTGTGGCGTAATTAAAATATTATTTGTATATAACTATTATTAAATTATATTTTACATATAAGTTTATTTAATACTATTATTGATAACGATATATTTGTAAAACATTATAATAGGGTGAGTTGAGATTAGTCTTTATCAGGCATCCGACCTAGAATATGTCACTTAAATATGATCTCCACTAAGTAGTGTCTCGTATTGGGAAGAAATATGGATGGTGACGTGTATGCAACTCATAATCTGTGAAGAAGATATGTTCATCCTCCTTATTTTAGTTTTGATGAAGACAAAAACATATCTTAGAAGAAATATCAAAGAAGAAAAAGATTGAAATCAAAGAATCAAGTTTGCATAAGTTTTTTGATTTCAATGAAATTGAATCATAAACTAATGTATAATGTGCAATTTAATTGTTATAAGCTTTATGTGCTCAAGAATTAATCATGAATTTTTAAGTTTGCATAAATTTCAAAATTGCATTTGAACTTAGTCAATTTTCAATGTTTTATGAAGGAAAATCGATTTACCTTTTAAATCAATCGATTTACAGTGGCTCTTTCAAAACGGAATTTTAGTTTTCTAAACATGTCAATCGGTTAACCTATTATGTCAATCTATTTACCATTCCAAATTTTGGCTATGTAAATCGATTATCCCTTATAAGTAAGCCGATTAACTTAGTGATTTTTCACATTATTTTTTAACGTTGAGGAAAGGTAAATTGATTAACCTATGATTAACCTCTATAGCATTTGGAAAAATATAAAACAACATGATACATCTTTATTGCATTCTTTCATGAATCATTTTCCTGAAGCAATGCAAACTATTTCTGATTATTTTTAATCATTGCAAACCTATTCAAAATAGTGTCTTGTGATGTATAAATAGTAGAATAATTTTACACCTTCTTAATGAACAATTTTCATTTGTTTTTAAGTGTTAGTAATATTTAACAGAGAAATTTTTTTCTGCATAATTTTCATTCATATGTAAAAAGTTTACTGAAAACACTGGAGCATTTAAATGTTTATATCATCTTGATTTGTTCATTGAATGAGAAGATTGAAATTTCAATATATCAGAAAAGCAACAAAACTTTCATGCATTATCAAGTCTATTACAAAATTTATCTATATTCATTTTTACCAATTTTTTGTAATATTCACCAAGTGTGTGTGGTGATTTTTATCTATGAGAAAGTTGTTGTACTATTATAGGTGATTGCAAATAGGAAGGGTTGTCTTTCCATTTGTTAGAAAGTCCTTCGAATTGGGGTGATTAAAACCCATCAAAGTTGTTGGTGTTTTTGGAAATCAAGAAATTTGTTTGTTTCTTCGTTATTGTTAGAAGATTGTTAGAGAAGTCTTAGTGGTAGGCGTGTACAAAGATCTGAAGATAGTGAAA